GCTCTGAAAAGTTGGAGAGTCATGCTTACACAGCATCTTTTTTGTCTGCACCTCCTACAACAGAAGAATCAGAGGTGTCTAATAAGGTTCTTTTCAATCAGTAAGACAAAAACCTTGGATCTTCTGGTGCCTTCTGCATAAAGCCAGTGTAAGAAGTAGGTGTGATGTCACCTTTTTTGGTTATCCTAGTAACAAGTTAAGCTGTTATTCAAGGGAATGCACTGGGCTGTGCAGACAGGGTAGATGAAAGAACACTCCCTTTTGGATTGGAATAAATTATTGCTCAAATTGTTTGTTAAAATCAAGACAGAATGCATTTGTGTGTGGACAAGTGTCCAGGGTGCAGATGCACAGGACTAGACTGGGTCCAGCTGAGAAAATAAATATTGCAAGCAGGAACTGTAGAAAAGCCTAAAGATTTACACCCATCCCTTCATTGCAAGGAATAAGGCAGAAATATTAGTTTGGGCTTTGACACTGTCTAAATATGTGATGATTTGTGGAGCAGAGAGAGGTGTAACCGTGGGCAAGTTGCTTAGTCTAGAAATAAATTTTCAATGCCAGATTTGAGATGAAATTTACTTAAAAAAAACCCTGAAAACAAACAGGGCTGTGGCAGGTATATGTGACAGGAGAGGGTGTGGGATATAAGCACATTATCACACAGCTGTTCTAGCTCTGTGCACTCCCCTCTTTTCTTGAAATTTCTTGATCTGCATCCCACAAGCCTTGAAGCCAAAATAATGAAAAATCTGTTGGTCAGTAATAGCTCCTTCACAGTAAAACATCCTTATAATACCTAAACTGCTGTTGGGGGTCTGCTGAATCCCTGAAAAAGTACAAGTTACAAACTTCATCCATCAAATAATTGGGCAATAAATACACTAATTGAGTAGCTGTAAATATGCTAATTGATCACTGGTGTCAATTGTTGGGAGTGGGTAGCTGGGAATGACCCCATCCCAGTAAAAGCAGAGTGTAAAAAGTGAAATCTCCTTGCTTAGCCAGTGACTCAGAACAATCTGAGGGAGAAGAAAAACTTCCAGAAAGGTTTGCAATTATTTTTCTGGGTGATGTGTTAATGAATGCATGGGGCTGATTGCTCAGGCAAGAATACCCAGTAATTAGCAGTTATGTCTGTGCTATGAGTCTTGTGAGGCAGATAACCACTTTGAAGATCTGTCTGCAGTTCAGCCTGCTGGTGGCAAATGATTCAGGGAGATCTTGGGGATCATTTGGAACTGGCTCAGCAATGCTGCAAGGGAGGAATTTGAGGAGAGATCTCAGGGTGTAACTCAGAGAGGAGGCTGCTGTCCTGGCTGAGCTCGGGGTGAGCTGGAGTTCCTGGGACCCATGAACCTGTTTGCTGGAGTGAGGAGATGGTGTCCCTGCCATCAGATCATGAAAGTCAGTTGTACTCATGTATTTCCTACCAGAATTATGATAGGAACAAGGTTTAGGAGTAAGTGAAGTCACAGCACAAGTGTTTTAAAAATGTCACACCTGCAGTGCTAACATTCCCTCTTTTTCCACCAATTTCTGTGCCTGTTTGCATTGTGTCTTCCTGTCAAGATACTGCAGAACCAGAGAGAGAGAGAGCACAGCCTTTCCATGCTGAGCAAGCTTCCTTCATACCTGATGCTTTGTAAAAAGCACTCAGTGTGATAGCAGCTGGTTTGTGAGATCAAGAGACTCTATCAGTACTCACAGGAAAAAAATCTTGGATGTGAAGGGCATGTTGTTAGCAAAGGAGCTGTTGAAAACCTCATGGAAGTGCTGAGTTTTTAAAGTAAAAAAATCTTTCTAAAATTTAGCTTACTAGAACGGGGAATGGGAATAAACAATCATTTGGGTGTGAAATTTCCTATTGTAAGGCATTTACTGAAAAGCCACTGGAGAAGCGTTACAAGGGGATTTTGCTGCTAGTCAGATTATTCTCCCTATTTAGGTGTGAACATGGTCCATCTGTTCATGAGACTTTGAGTAGTAAAATTTCAGTCTGTGCAGGAATATTGTGTTTTGACTTTAAAAGAAGCTCAGGATTGTTCTATGGGATTGATCCTGGAGAACAGATCTGTTGTAAACACATGGAGTTAAGCTGCAGGACTTTGATTTTTTTGTAGGAGGGTTTCCTAGAGTTTTCTGGTGAAAACCATGCCTCAGAGGGCATCATCTAATTGTTCACAGCAATGAACAATTCCAGCCTCCTAATCTATGGGAGGAGTGCAAAGTGTGATATTTCCAGGCTATAAATTATCCAAACTAATAAATCACTAGTTCAAGTTGTGAACAGAGCTTTGCAGGAAACTGTGAAAAGGAAACAGCAGGAAGAGAGTGATCTATAAAATGATGGGAATAAGAAACCTGCCAGGGTCAAAAGCTTTTTAGAGGCTTGGTCTTTGAGGGGAAAGTCAAATTCACTGCTATTCATATGGAAGACTGAGGAATGGCCGAGTTTGGTGGGTGTTGGTTGCTCAGGGACATAATCTGTGATGGGGAGATGTGGGATCAGGGAATGGAGAACAGTCATTGTGCTTGGTTTAACTGAATACAAGAGTCCTTTCTCAAGAAGGAAGGGGAAGGAAAAACATTAATTGTAGCCATGGGAAGGGTCATATCTGCCTCTGCTCTGGGAAGACTGCAGGAGGAATATGGCCAAAGCACCAGGTCTTTTTGGGGAACATCAGCTGAGATTTTGGTATTGTAAAGGAGATCAGTGGCAGCACCACTGAGGCTCCTTGACAGCAGTGGTTTGTCAGCAGAGACAGAACTCCCTTCTTCTTGCAAACTGTAGTAATAAAGATTGCATTGCTTGATCTGTGTGCCTTTGCTGTTACAGGGAGAACAGCCCACAGCTCCTCTTCCTTCTTGAGAAAAGGCTCTACCTGCTGTGTTGATTGATTGAAGCTCACTGGAGACAGAGGAAGATTTAACACTCACTTGAGGGCTCCTCTTCATAAGTTCAATGAGATAGATAGCCTAAAAACACATTTCAGAGTTGAGATTTGCAGAGGGAGAGCACAAAACAAGGAAACCCCTGCATTGTTGGGATGGCAGCAGTGTTGTGACAGTATAAAAGAATTGCTTTAATTAAAAGTCTCTGAAGACAGGAAATCCTTCTTTCTGAGCACAGCCCAAAGAAAGGGTGTTCTGCTGCTACTCTCAGCACTCAGAGGTGCAGTGGCTGATGCCAAATTACAGAGGTTTCTCCTGGACCATGGAGGTGCTGTAGTGGTTATTAAGTCTCTGGGGACTGAACAAATATCTGCAGGCACTGTACATCCAGCACCAGGGTTATATTCCCTCCTCACTCCCTCCAAAAAAAGTCTCAGTCACTGTGCATTTAAAGACATTTTGGGATCATGCGACAGGATGTAAAGGCACCATTCTCCAAGGTAATCATGTTCCCTTGCTTTTCAGGAGGAAAAAACTAAAAACATTCTGAAAATCCCATATTCAAATCTGTTTCTATTATGTCTATGTTTTTCTAAGACAAAATTTCTACTGTATCACTTGCAGGAAATTTTTGGGGAGTAATGAGGTGGGGAACTGCCCATAACCATTTTCCACTGTGACAAAAGAAAATACAACAGTGTATTTTACAGCCTTTTTAAACCATGTTAAAATAGCAGCTAAAATATATGCATCAGAATGTACTTTTTTCAGTCAAAAACAATCTGAGAAATTATAAATTAGCTTATTAATTAAAATTACCTTAAATTACATTCAAAAAGGGAAGACTTTCAACTCAAGAAAGATGCTTCTATAGAAATGGAAATTTTTGTTATTGAGGGTATTAAACTTCAAAGATAAGCAAGAACTGAGATTACCTGGAAAAGTACTTCTAATTCTTCTTCAAAAAAAATTTAAAAGGGGAGGGAGGAGGATGAAAGTTTTGCTGATAATCATCTCCTTTTACTCCTAGTTACCTGTCTGTGTGTGGCAAAGGAATGAGAAAAGGAAAAAAAAAATTCTCAAAAGACAAATGAAGAGCATAGAAAGCTGTAATTACTTAGACACCTTAACTCAGACATGTTCAGCAATAGAAACAAAACTAATTTTCTCACTAATTGCATTTCAGTTATAGCTATTCAAACAGTTTATTCTGAAAGATGAAGAATTCCACCTATAAAATGCACCATTTGATATACATTATGCAAATTAAGTCTGTCATGTTTTTGGTTCCAACCAGGATCGAAGTACAGAGAAATCCCAGGCGGAGTGACCGCGGTGCTCCGGCAGCGCGGGGCTGTTTGTCCTGTCACTGCTGGGGTGTCTGTCCTGAGCACCAGCAGTGCTTTGGGGCACTGAGAGCTGGCTTTGCAGCTGCTTTTGAGCAGGAATCCTGCTGTGAGGTGTTCCCCTCAAACGGAGTAACCCTTGTTGTGTGTCGCAGGGATCATGTACCGCAAGTCCTGCGCCTCCTCGGCCGCGTGCCTGATCGCCTCCGCCGGCTACCAGTCCTTCTGCTCCCCTGGCAAGGTCAACTCCGTCTGCATCAGCTGCTGCAACACTCCCCTCTGCAATGGACCCCGCCCCAAGAAGAGGGGCAATTCTGCTGTGGTGCCCAGGGCACACATGATGACCACTCTTCTGCTCCCTAAATTGGCTCTGTTGTTTTTGTACTGCTAAACTTCAAGCAAGTTGGTCTGTTTGGTTTGTTTTTTCTCCCTGACGCAATTTGTTCTGCAACCTTCTTTCTTCAAAGACGCTGCAATTATTTTCTGTTTGTTTCCAAATCCCTGTCAAGAGCAAGGGAAGTTCAGTGGTTTTGTGGAGAAGAGGGGCTGATATTTTTGTCAGCTAATGAGTTCATTTAGCAGATTGAATTTCCAGTGTGCGCTTAAAAATCCCAGCAGGACACAGAACTCCTGTTCCTTTTGCATAACTGGAAACAAATCCATCTGTGTTATTCCTTTTGCCATGTTGTCTCTTTCCTGGGTCATTTCAATTTCCATCTTTTTAAGCTCATTGCTAAGCAGCAACTTTGCCTTATGAGGTCACACTTGATGTTCACGGAGGCCGTTCTGTGCGCCCTGACCGGGCTCTGAGCCGCTCTCGAGGGGCGTCGCTTCCGGACTGGGATCTGAGGGTGCAGAACCCGTCTCCTGTGGGCTGCAGCCGGGCGTGGGCTCCTTCTGGAAGGTGCTCAGGAAAACTTTGGCGTTGCCCTTGGCGGAAGAGCCGTGCCTGGAGGACGTGAAGAGCAGGGGGCGCAGGGAGCGGCTGCTCCGCGCCCCAGAGCTCTGGTTGGCCCTGAGGAACCTCTCCCTGTTGGCGTGCTGCAGCGTGAGGCGGCAGCACAGCACCTGCAGGAACACGCTGCGGAACTGCTGCGAGGAGATGTTGTACAGCAGCGGGTTCACCACGGAGCTGAGGTAGAAGAAGATGTCGGCGATGGGAAGGAGGGTGATGTAGGCTTTGAAGTAGGGGTAGGTCCAGTCCTGCTTGGGTTTGGCGGCTGCCATGATCCTCCTGACCTGGTTTGGCATCCAGCAAACCGCCAGCGTGGCGATGATCAGTCCTGCGGGCACAGAAAGCAAGAAAGAGGTCTGCATACGTGGGGGAAGACACATGAAATACCATCAGTTCTGCACTTACTTGTTAGGAAATGGCACCAATTTCTCAGTGTTTTGCTTGACAGCTTTTTCTGCCAGTAGCATTTTTTATTTGTTGTTTTTAATAACTGTTACAAGGTCATTGCGGCACATGCTCAGACAAAACACTGCACAGTGCTTGGATGGTGTTTCTTTGTACCTGTTGTCATTTATTGGTTTTCACAGTGTTCTTTCTCTGATCATCTGTGTCTTTGGAAAGAATATGGTTTTAGTTTGGTTTCTGCTCTTACATTTCTTCTGTCTTTCCCTTTACTTTGAAAAACAAACACAATAAATAGAACCTATAGCCATATTAGATCAGGCAATACCCAGAAGAGATCAGATTCTTGTTTGTACTTTACAAAAAAAAGAAAATGTATGCATAATAATATATTTCGTGTTATTTTTGGTAGATTTCCTCTTACAGAAGCTATTTTTAAGTAAAATGTGTATGGATCTTTTTATGGTAATTAAGATATGTTGGGCTTTCTTAAAAATCAAATTCCAGTGGAATTAAATGATGAATGTAAATGAGAAAAACCCAAGCCTAGTCATGAAAGTGTAAGCAGTTTCAGATTGTAAATTACGCTTTAAAATGTGGTATCTGACCATTTTGTATTTATATGTAAATATAAATACATGTTGCTGCATCACTAATGGCATTAAAAAGGGGTGGCTGAAGTCTTGGATGTCTGAAAATTCTGCCTGCGTGGATGGAGTTCTGCAGGGTGCAGCAGCCCTGCAGGAATGTGTCAGTGATGGAGCTGGCTGTGCCCAGGCAGGACATGGAGCAGGAGCAAGGCACCTCATGGCATCCTCTATTTCTCCTGTGTGCCAGCACTGGAAAGAAATCCTGCCACCCTGTGTGACATCCCAGGTACACAGAGTCACTCCTGCTGCTGCTGCTCCCCCAGCAGTGCTGGCTCACAGGGCAGCCTCCACTTTGCTGTCCCCTCTTTGCCTCTCTCTGCGCAGGAGCTGTGCCTTACACCAGCTTTGGAGGGAGCAGAAGCTGCAGCCTGGCTGCTTCCCTGGGCAGGGAGTGTCCTGGTGGGGCAGTTCTCATCCTGTGTCACCTTGTGAACCTCATCCAATGCCTGACCTCTGCTCCCAAAAGCAGCACAGAAGCTGTTTAATTCTTGCTTCTCTAAGCTGAGTCAGATTTCCCCCACTGGACAGGTCACTGTAGCAGTGCCATTTGGAAATAGCAGGGTTTTGAAGCCAGGAAAAGGATACTTCACTAGCAGGAAGATGTGAATGTAGCAGGGAAGGGAGGTAGGAAATAGAATAAAGATTTTTCATAACTTTGAAACTGCCAGAGCTTCATCAGGCTCTGTCCAAGTTCTCGCCACCACTACCCTCAAAGCAAAGAAAAGGTATGAAATGCCTTTTAAAATAAAGATTTTTTTTTTTCATAAAAAGGATAATTACTTTAATGAATCTATTATCTCCCTGAATGAGCTACCAAATAAAAGCTGTCCTTTGGATCCCTTGCTTCTGTAATCATTCACTGTCACAATAACTTTGTTGGGATGGGGAAGTAGCAGATCTTAAACCTACAGCACTGGCTTAAGAGCCCTGGAGGGCTGTTGCTGGCAGGCCAGCAGTAAATCCATCACCAAAACCTTTGCCATTTGCAGTTCTTTGCCTACCAGAACTCTCCTCAGCCACTGTTTCTTTGCTCTCAGTCCCACTGTCCCCTCCCTGCCCCTGATTTTCCCCTGCCACCTTGCCTCACTGTTCAGTACCTGCTGTGCCTCTGTGATCTGAATTCTGTATTAATCCTGCAAATGTTTGAGGCCTTCAGTGCTCTTCTCCTGCTGTCAGCTTAACAACTATAGGGTGTCAGTCCTGGCATGGCCCAAAAGAAAAGAAGGAACCTTGAGCAGTGACTTGTGATGAATCTTATAAAAAGGCAGTGGAAGGGTTTTATTGCTTCACTGGGGCTTTTTCTCTGGCACAACTTAAACACAAAAGTTCACAAGCCCAGATCTGTGGAATTCTCATCAAATTTTACCAGAAGATCTCTCTCAAGTGAGAAGAAAATAAGCTGTATTGTACAATTTTATTTTATTTTTTTGTTCTTGGTTAGAAACAAGATACTTCACCATGCTGATTAATAGTTTCCTAAATTATGAGTGCTGCTGAGAAAAACTGTGAGCAAACAATGCATGCATTCATTTTTAAAGCCTAACTACATTGCTCTGAAATGTCTGATTTTTTTTTTGCTTCTATCTGAATTCCTTTGGCATTGACCTTTCTTTTTAATTCAAACCGCCAACTGCTTAAGGTACCTCCTTATATTCTTCAGACCCTTTTGTTCTGGAGAAGTGAGTATCTGGTAGTGTGTACAGCAAGTGAAAAATGAGCTGCCTGTGCCCTTGTGCAGCACAGGCAGGTTTGTCTCTCGGGGGGCGGGAGGGGACGGCTGCAAAACTGTTGTTTCCCAGGGATGACTAATTGTTCATTTTCACACTTTGAGAAGATGCCTGTTGACTCAAAGGAGATGCACCATGCAAATAAACATGCTGACAGACTCACAATATTTTTTCCAGCTTTCACACTTGGCATGGCAGTGTGGAGTAAAGGGAAGCACAGCAGAAGAGCACCTCAGGTGTGATGGTGTTCACAGGGGTCTGAGGATGAGGGAAGAGACAAGGATCTGACTCCATGTTTCAGAAGGCTTGATTTATTATTTTATGATATATATTATATTAAAACTATACTAAAGGAATAGAATAAAGGATTTAATCAGAAGGCTGGCTAAGAATAGAAAAGGAAGAATGATAACAAAGGCTTGTGCCTCTCAGAGAGTCCAAGCCAGCTGACTGTGATTGGCCATTAATTAGAAACAACCACATGAGCCCAATCCCAGATGCAGCTGTTGCATTCCACAGCAGCAGATAACCATTGTTTACATTTTGTTCCTGAGGCCTCTCAGCTTCTCAGGAGAAAAAATCCTAAGGAAAGGATTTTTCAGAAAATGTCATGGCTTCACTCAGGAAGCCTCTGAGCTCAGCACTGCTGCTGTCAGGCTGAGCCTGGACTTGGGCTCCAGGAATTTGTGCTGTGCTGCTGTGCCAGAGGTGCTTAAACAGCCTCAAGCAGCTGGAATGGAAACCACACTGAATCTTACACCAGCACTGATGTATTTTTCCTGTGAGCTTGCTGTCTGATGGGAATAATTCTCCACATTTCAGCTCATGTCCAACTTTGCCTTCTACTCCGTCTTATTAAAAGGAGAAAGATCAGTGGCTCTCCTTTTTCCACCCCATTTTCCTGACCACTGCATGAAAGTGACACAGAGCAGAGCTTTATGTTCCATGGAATAACAATGTTTATAAACAAAGTAATGCTGTGGTTTTGCAACCTCCATCACTGGTGCTTGAAATTTCCAACTCACATTTGAATTATTCCAGTTCAATCATCAGAAGGGCATTAGAAAAATGCCAGCAGAAGCCAGGAGCCCTTGTGTTACATTCTGTAAGTAAGAACATCTCAACCTTTAAGTAAGAGCAGGAGCTTAGAATTCATTTAACATTGATTTAGATATTTCAAGGTAACAAACAAAACAAAACAAAAGACATGAAAAGGTCCTTGGCTAAAACTACATTATAAAGTTAAACCATAAACAAGCCACAAAACAGTTTACCCCAAAATAGGAATTACCACATCCTACTACTGTTTGAATCTGAAAAGAGCCCAGCCCAAGCATCTTTACAAACAAAGCATACAAATTTAACAACACTTTAAATTTGGTAATTATTATTCTAACTTCCCAAAACTCAATCTCACAGTATTAATTCTTAATATGTAACAAAGGATCATTTATGTAGTAAAATAAACCTAGCATTTAAGTGCCAATAGTATAAATATTCATTGCTGGCAGAGAATAGGAGTTTGGCAGTCATCTATCCCTTAGCAATACTTTTTTATTACTCAGAAAATTCCTCTGGGCCATAGGGGACTGAATTAATTTCATTATGAACTTTATTGGGAAGGATTTTAAATATGTGCAGATGTCTGGTAGAGAGGGCTTCCTTCTCCACACTTCCCCTTGTTCTTCTGTTGAATAGATTTTTGTCTTTTTTTTCTGTACCTAAGCACTTAAATCTGTCTCCTTTCAAAACCCAGTGCTTTGCCTCTATCCTGGCTGCTGCCAGCCATCCCAAAAAGCCTGAAATTGTCAACAAGATCATGATTGCCACCAGACAGTGCCAAGAACAGGTTTCCTTTGGCTGCCACAGCCCCTTAGCTGAGGCTGTTGGTGACCTCAGGTACAGAATCCTTTGCCTGTGCACTTCACCCTGACCATCCTGGTGGGTCAAGGTCTGCCAGACTCTGCTGCTGCTCTGTCCCAGCCAGCCCAAAGCACAGCCAGACCCAAAACTTTGCCTCTCTGGGATCTGATTAATGACACAAAGGCAGGCTCCCAGCATCTGCTTGTAAACTGACATTTAAATGGCAATTGTCAGTGGAATACAAGCATATGGTTACTGAGCTGTGAGTCAAGTGCAGGCAGGAATGCAATTGGTTCAGAGGAAGAGCTTTTTTTAGTGTTGGTTTCACTTTTGTGTACTTGGCCTGTCTATACTCAAAGGCACAACATGACACTAATGCTTAGTCATAAAGTCTTCAAACAGTGCATCAGAAGTGCCAAAAAGGTCCCAACAGAGGAAGAAAGGCCACCTTTAATTATTAAGTTTACCATCATAAAGCAATGCTAATTACCAGGAAAGCACTTGGTCCCTACTGGATTCTGCTACAGGCTTTGAAAACATGTGCAAAGATAACTTCCCACTAATCAGGGTCTCAATGGTCTCAATATCAGCCACTGATAACTCAGGAGAAGGGAGAAAAAGCAAAGACAGAAGTACTAATTAAGAATGCTACTTTCAGGAGGTGGGGTTTTGGCTTGTATTTGTGT